GGTGAGCACCGAGCAGCTTCTCCCCTTTTATATTATAATATGTTCTATAGTATAGTATTGATGATGATAACGTCCTAAAGCAATAACCGATGGATCAGTCAGTCTTATCTCGTGGTCCAGTAGCCGTCGTCCCTGTCCAGGTGTCGGCCCGCGGGTCACGTCATCTGAGGGGCGCCGTAGCCATCTGACCCGGTGCGCCTTCGGCTGTTGCTGGTGTTGGCTGCACCACCGGTGGAGCCGATGTTGTACTGTTGGGCGGCCGGGAGAGGCGAGACGCTCGAGCTGATCTGAAACTTACCGAGGTAAGGATTGCTCGGCGAGTTTGTCAGCAGTACGGGCGAGTCGTACTGCTCCCGTCCACGGTGGGTGGGTTGCGGTTGGTGTTGGAAGTAGGTGGGCGGCGCGTGGCCGTACGACTCGCCGTTCAGCGGGTTATTGTTGGACTTGGTCTTGAGGGGCTGGTCCGAGTGGTGGTAGTGATGCGGGTAGCGGCCGGTGCTAGTGGGCGGCGAGGCCATCTGTTGTAGCCCGGGTGGGTTCTTGAGACCCTGAGTCGGGCTCTGGCTTATGGACTCGAGCACGTGACGCGGCATGTTGGGCGACGGACAGTGCTGCTGCTGCTGCTGCTGGTACTGGTGATGGTAGGGGTGGTGGTGGCCGACGACGTCTTGGAGGCCGTCGAGTCTGTTGGCGCTGCTGATGCGCTGAACGTAGACCGGCGTCTCGGGCCGGTTGCCGGTGCGCTCCTTGTTGGTACTGTAGTTGGCCGTTGGTGGCGCTGATGCGACCTGGGTCTTTTGCTGATGGTGCAGATAGGTGCAGGCTGCAGATCGCTGGTGGTGGTGGTGGTGTTGCTGAAGGCTATTTATACGGTTCGACTGCGCGGCTGTTGGCGTCGACGATGACTTGATGGTGGGTGTCGGGCTGCTGTCGTTGCTGTTGTCGAGATCGACGCTGGACCAGGTGACGCTCGCGAGCTCCCACCTACGCAGCAGACTCGCCACGTGCTCGGCTCTCAGGGTCGCGTCCGAGCTCTCGTCGTAATCTGGGCCCTGAAAACATTTTTTTCTTTTCTTTCTCCACTTTTGTCTTATTTTTACAATATATTTATATTGTTAGATTCTTGCGTGTACAGGTAATGGGTATCCGTATAATATACAAGTCGTTCACTTTCGTGCGCAGCTCGAATGGCCGATATTCAAGTTTTCTAATTAAAAGTACCGGCAAGTTTTGTCGGGGGAGGCTTACCGCGGATATAACGATATTCTCTCTCCCTCTCCACTTTTCTTGGATCTGCCGCATGCGGACATTAGCTGTAAAAGGAGAGATTTAAAAAAGAAAAAAAAAAAAAA